GCGCTCTTGTCACTAGTCATTGAAATAATAGAGGTACTGTGTCAATTCTAAGATAGTTTTACAAATTCATTCCAGGTGCTCTCAATATTTCTCTTCTATTGGTCCGGAATTTACTGTCGCTACAATAGGTGTGGCGAATCGTTGATATGGCCCGAGAAGAATCGGCAATATGCGCAGGTGATTTGTTGGGTAACCCTTAATCGAAGACCTAGGCTTTTTATCTACCTGTCAATTTACAGTATTTTCCAATATTCACGGCTCCACTTATCGCCATGATATCGCTAGCCTGGCTCGTCACCAACGTCTGCTACTCAAACACACCATGTGCCATCGCCTATAACTGCATGGTGGGTGATTTCACTGAGAGGCAGCAATTACGATAGATTCTGGAGCGATTTAAAGGCAAAGTTCGGGATTTCTGGCGAAATTAGGTTTTCCCCGTCAAATATGCAGCAGTACGCAAGGGCAGACCATGTGCAGAAGTGGCGGGGCGATTTGACAAGGTTTAGGCGCTAGGAGCCTAGGTTGGAGCATTGGCGCCGCCCCAACCCCATTGAGCCCGCCCACTGTTCCATGCGACCTTCCAAACAACCACATGGAACACTAGATGTTAAGTTGTTATTTGGAAGGTCGTAGGAGGATAAGTGGCTGACTTCAACTTTCAACTTCAATACTAAAGCCTATGTTACGGCCATTACAGGAAACTTTGCCACTCATTCTAATGAGAATCAAATTTTTAAAATAAGAAAAACAAACAAAAAAGCGCAAATAAACAGAAAAATAAGGAAAGTTGGAAGAAATCAATTCTCATTGCTGAGTTTTATAGCCGTGTCGGTTGATGGCACAAAGCCAACAGTTGCTGTAGACACGTCCAACACGTAATTTCCCAGCCCTGGCTTCTAAGCGACTAACGAAGAGGAATTATAATTTTGGACTTTTTGGGGTTCCTGCTTTTTTCTCCAGGTTCGATTCAGTTAGCACCCAGGGCTTCATATTTGTACAGAGAACTCCCACGTTTTATCCCGGAGTTTGCCTTTAAGTTCCCATTGTACTTTGTTATGAGATCGGAGACGTGGGGAGTGCTCAACGGTACGCCAATGGTGAAAAAGCGGAGAAATCCGTCAAGAAACACGAAAAGTTGTTTGGCTGTCGATTTTTGCTTATGGGCTAGCAACCGCTAAGACAGTGAACGTAATACAGGCAGACTTCATGATAAATGGGTCGCTCATCGAAAGTGAACGTGGAGATGATCAATAGTGCAGAGATAAAGAAGAAGAAACAGCTTTAGCAACCCATGAAATGGACTGGCCGCTCTCAGCACCCGTTGACATCCCGTCTAGGGCAACTCTCATGGCGGCTGCCGTCATCAACCATGAACACACTGTTCATACTCTTCTCTGCAAACACGTAGGGTTCACCGACTAAGAATCCCAACCCGGTGAGGGGGATAGCCAGTAGGTAGGAGTGAGAGCTGCGAGCGCCGCTAGGCTGCTACTAGCTCATTTTGCAGCGATCGTTCCTCTCCTTTGGGGGCCTATGTCGCTTTCCAGTAAATGGTTCTTCGACCTCACGTGACCTTCCTTCAAAGGCACATTTCACAATTTCAGAACCGGATCAAAAAGTCGGGTACCAAACTGTGATTGCTGATTGTCCGACTAGTGAAGGGACAAGAAAAGGCAGATTAAAGATATAGAAAATGAGACCTTCTTCTGTTGATAATTTGAAGCTTAAGCTTCAGTTTGTGGTTAGACTTTGGTTAACAGGCGAACTGCAGACAAGAAATATCGGAGCGGTGGGCACTACCATGTTAGGTTGGTGGAGGTCTGTCGAAAGTCGATGCGCGCTAGGGTCCCTACCGCAGCGGCGTTTCCGAGATGAAGGTGGCGCTACCTTTGCACAGCCTACCCCCGCACTTTCTAGGGCCATGTAAAAAAAAAAAGGCTTCCCCAGGTGGTGTGAGCCCGAAAGTTTGCCTTAATGCTAGCCTAGGTTGCCAAAGACGGTACTTATTCAGGTGTAAATACTGACTGTGAACGATATATTTCAGCATTTGCATGGCGGCTCAACTGGAACTAAATAGATCGCTGTTTTCTTTGAAATTCCAAAGTAGCGTTAAAAATTCCATTTCTTCTAGGAATGCCATCCGCCGTTTTTTGCTCCTTGCTGGCTGGAATCAGTGCAGTAATTGAGATTCATTATTCAATAGATTTTAATCACTTGGAATGGAGTGAGAAGTGGAGCTGGGCTGCGGTACGTGTCAACTTACACTTTTCGTTCGCAAACCGTTTATCTGGTCCCATATTCCCATTAATTTCAGGCCGATTCTGTCGCTCTCAGTGCCATTCACGCTGTCTTAGCGTTTGCATTACAGTGAAAGTATACACTATGCTGTTTTCAACTTCTCTTCTTGGTTACTCAGGGCGTATTATTGATAGTGGACGTTCAGTTACTGTCACTAAAGGCATTGTTGTTCTCAAAAGGTTCAATGAGCAACCTGGTTGACAAAACAACAACACCCAGCTGAATTAGATTTTTGAATGAAGAGAAAATTCAGCAGAGTCCATCAATAAAGCTAACTTGCGCTAAAACCCTTCTCATGCCCCAATATTAACAAATGCTGGCAGTTATGGCTAATGGATGAAATCCATGCGAGAATTCTAGCCTTATCGACTCCCTTGCCTGTGGTTAGATTATTTCACAGGTTTGACGCAATTTTACTACACTATACATCACTCCATTCACTTATCAAATTCAACTACAATTAGTGACTCCTCTATTTATACGAAAGCGAGGGATTACGATAAGTTTGGACTGGGTTCATAGTGGAAGTGGAGATGCTGAATAATGCCCCAGTGGCGAAAAAAGCAAAGAAATCCGTCAAGAAGGCGCAAAATGGGACCCCTTTCTTTGCCCGTTGACCTCCGATAATGGACGAGCTAGCAACCAATTAGGAGGTCGTTTGCACATGTTATGCTGATAGCCTCTATCATTTCAGCAAGCATCATGCTTTGATTGATCACGCATCCCATGAAAAGTTATAGGATACACTCTGGAAGTGGAATATCTCGTCACATTGGCAATCGAAGGGCGCTGCTGCTGGGGGCGGAGCACAGACCGTGGCGGGGCTCAGAAAGGAATGGCAAGCCTTGTACGCTGCAACTAGCGCACCTTTGACCACAAAACGCAACATTTCGTTTCCTTGGGCCCCTGACTACTGCTTCCAATGGTGCATGTACTTCCACGCTGCATACGCACTTTATCGTAATCTCTCGCTTTAATTCAGAGTTGTCTCGAAAAGCGATCCATCAGTTCCCTTTCACACCAGCACGCCTGTGGCGCAAACTTGATACGCCTTTTCTCTAACAAATGCGACTCGTTTTCTCCGGAGCAAATTGCCCTCGAGGCAAATTTTTAGCGAATTTGGCGCTTCATGATGTTTTGGCACTGCTGCAGGTGGCGGCGGGGGTGTGGGGGGGGGGGGGGGGGGGGGGGGGGGGGGGGGGGGGGGGGGGGGGGGGGGGGGGGGGGGGGGGGGGGGGGGGGGGGGGGGGGGGGGGGGGGGGGGGGGGGGGGGGGGGGGGGGGGGGGCAAAACTTCCCCTGGCCCCCGCTCGGCGTGTGCGCGCGCCTGCTCTCGCCGAGGGCATTCGTATAACTTACAAAGGAGGGTCTTTCCAGGACTAGTAGCGCTGTTTCGAAAATGGTTTGTCTAAAGTTGTAGAGGATCAGTGAGAAACACCAGGACGGTACGGTCCAATTTTTCGCCCTGAACGCCACAAGCGGAAAAGGTCAGAAAACAGCGGGACGAAAATGGTCCATAAGTTCGACTCGTAGGTTCATGAACAAATTTTCGTGTGCAATTATGTTGGACGCCTCCAAATCTCTCAGCATACACGACAGTGACATCATCCGCGACGATTGGCGGGCCACCTGCGGCAATCTGGGGCGTCAAACCGTATATTGGCAAAAACATTAGTCATCACCCGGTAATCGGCAGCACCTGGACCATTTCCTTTGACGATGGTTTCTGCAATCCTGGAGGCGTTCAGTGAAATATCGGATGCACGGTTCGTGTTCCTACGCATCGCAGCGCCCTACAACATGCAGAAAACCATTTCGAAAAAGCGCTCCATGTCCTGAAAGGCCTCCCTTTGTTAGACCGATTTCTTGCCAAATACATCCTCAGCGATAAATTGTGATGGAAGTCTAGCGAGATATATCGAAAAGCGTTAGAGTAAAGAGTTAATAGTGCATAATGTTCTGCTGGGATTGGAAGACAAGGGTGTTTGCCTAAGGGTCGTCCTTATTATTCTTTGCTAATGCGAGAGGAGTGACAGCCAACTTGTACATCGTTTTATTGGGTCTGCAATTCATACCTTACTAAGGGCTGGCAGTTTTCATACACAATGCCTTTAGTAGTAAAGCTGCCTTCCACTTGCAACCATGATCTCTTAAAGTGTTTGGATCTTCCATTACATGTATACTCAAGGTTGAGTGTGTTTCTTGTGCTCATAACAACACACTAGGCGACAATTTCATCGTCCAGGTAGAGAATTCTTTTGCTCCCATGTTGTGCCTCTGTTGTGGTCATTTACATGTACCCATACTGTAATTTGAATTTTCTTTATCGTTTGTTCTTAGATTTGGTTCTCGCCAGCTAGCGTTCAAGTTCAAGTTTCGTTTTTCGTTCAAGTTCATTAGTACAAATGGGAAAAATGTGGGTGCCGAATTGTAAGCATAAACGTTTACCTTGAATTGATCTCAAATTAGCACTTTTTTTCGAGGCTTTGTGTTTAGTCGTCGCACTAGCGAGGGCAACATACAAGGTGTGGAGCTTCAATTGAGTAAAGATTAAGTACTAATTATGAGAAGCTTGAATCGTATTCGGAACCCGTTCTATGTTGGAGTGAATTAACTTATATTAAATGGCCTATCTTTTCCATTCACAGATCACAAAGGCAAAAACTTTCCAGTGTAACCAATTCTCGACAAAATACTTGTTTCTCTATGATATCCTGTGTTGCCTTATGACTTCGTCTTTTCTTGATAATAAAAAGCTCTCATTGTTTTTGCTTGTTAACTGCTGTTTTTGGCCGCAATTCGCCTTGCCAATCTTTCACAAGAATGCTGGGTTCTGAGTAGGGTCTTTCGGGAATTTGCAGCTGCGCCGTACTATACTACAGATCTGCAAAAATACGACCTGTAACATATCCCATTTTTGGAAATCCTAACCATTCCGAGTGAGCAGTAATCAGATCTTATTGAATTGGTAAAACTCCACCTGGCAAGCCTCTTGCCGAAAAAAAGTTATCACCTGTATCACCTGTCGTCCCGTTGATCATCGAATTGCTCGAGCGGGCGCCAGCAACGTCTCCATTCGTCCCTGTCGCGTGCAAGAGTTGTCCAGTGGACCCTCCTCGCTCGAGGGACACGATGTCCTTCATTCCTTTCGTTCAGAGCTTTCGTGAAGAAGTCTGACCATCGGGCCGGCGGTCGTCCAGGTGTTCGTTTGACGTCCCGAGGGATCCAGTCGGTAACCGCTGCTCTGGTCCAACGGTCATCGCAAAATCGCATGACGTGTCCGGCCCACCTTATCTTCGATTCCTTGGCGAAAACGGCAGCGTCCCTGATCTTCGATCGTTGGCGTAGTTCGGCACTCCGGATTCCCCTCTGCACTTGCGTGTATAGGGTTACTCCTAGCATCGTCCTCTCGACAGCGCGTAATAACGCTGACCGCATGCTCTTCGCTGGATTGCGCGGCAGTCAAGTCTCTGAGGGGTAAGTTAAGGCAAGGACAGGCTCGCGGCACTCGAAGAAGTTGTGGCGCAAAGCCGGATGTTCGTCGTCGTCTTGCAAACTAACTGGCCTCCCACTGCCCTAGCGCGATTCCTCCTGCCTAGCGCGAGCTGGAATCGTTTATCATGAATTATACGATAGCTGCAGACCAACCTTACCACAGGCGCAGTCGAAATCAGCCAGCATTCGCTCCGCTTGCTCGATGTTCGGCGTTATAAGAACGATGTCGTCAGCAAAACGAAGGTGGTGTAGTTGCCGGCCGTCGACCTTCACTCCCATGTCTTCCCATTCCAGTTGACGCATGACGTTCTCGAGAGCGGCGCTGAAGAGTTTGGGCGAGATGGTGTCGCCCTGTCCTTGTAGAATGGTGAGATCCTGGTCGTAAAGTTGCTGTAGAGCTCACGAAGAATCTTGATGTACTGAGTAGGGACGCCCTGGTTGCCCAAGGCTTCGATGACCGCTTCTGTCTCCACAGAGTCGAAGGCCTTCTTCAAGTCGATGAACGTGAGACAAAGCGGCATCTTGTACTCTCCGTGAAACTTCAATGAGTCTCGTAACCGTGTGGATATGGTCGATCGTGCTGAACCCTCTTCGGAACCCTGCTTGCTCGCATGGCTGTCCTTCATCTAGTATTCTGCCGATCCTGTTGAGGATAACTCGAGTGAATAGCTTGTAGAACAGACAGCAGGCAGATTGGGCGATAGTTGTCATTGTCGTCTATGTCTCCCTTCTTGTGCAAGCAGGCAGTAAGTCCGCGTACTGGGTGTCCACGAGTGGGGTACCTTCCATTCCGAACAGGCAACACGTGAACGAAGCCGAGTACCGATGTGAAGTTCTTCAGCCGTTCTTCTTGGGCCAATCTTAGCGTTGAAGTCGCCGACGATGACCTTGAAGAAGGTATGATCTTCCCTGTAGAACTTCTCCAATTCCATATAGAATGCTTCGTGTTCTTCTTCGTCGTAGCTGGATGTTGGTGCGTAGGCGACGAAGATAGTCAGAGAGCCGAGAGTTAAGCCTACAGTCTTAATCGTTGTGACTCGTTCGTTAGGCCTTTGGTATGAGAATCGATGTTTATGGCCAAGTGCGTGTTGACGAGGACACCCACACCGCCAACGCCTCTGCTGTCGCATGTTCCAAGGAACAGTTCTTCTCCAGTATCGAAAACGGCGTGTAGCGAGGCGGTGCCTTCTCGTCTCGGTCAGTCCGATGACGTCGTACTTGATCTTCCTGGCCTGCATTCACCATCAGCTCTCGATGTGAGCTTCGATGCGAAGCATTTGGCTAAACAGCTTCCATGTATAAGTCTTCACCATTTGACTCCTAGGAATCGATAAGCTACAGTGATATTTTCAGCAAGAGATTTCCTTCTAGTTTAGCAAACTAATTTTATGGAAATTTTTTGCCATGATCAGAAGTATTGGGCGGAAGTGGTGTAGTGACAAGTGGCGCGCTTACCACGCGAGCGGTCCGGGATCAAATCCTGGGTCGTGAGTCGCCCGGGCCAACCAAGCCTTCCATCCCTCCGGGGTCGGTTAATTGGTACCAGACTTGTCTGGAGGATAAAAACACTGACTTGTAC